ATGACTTTTCACAATCACAATATTGACATCATGGAATTGCTGGCGATCTGAGTTGCAAGAGTGTGTGAGAAGTCCCTCTGTGTATCACGCGTATCACTAAACACTTGTTGGTATTGGTTGGTATCTTTGCGTTACATCTGCAAGAATCAAAATGCCACATTTCTTTCAGTTTATTTAACAAAGACGTACAGCAAGGCTGTAAGGTGCGGATGTTCACCAGCATAGTTCGTGTGATATACTGCAAAAACAAGTTAAGGATCACCCAATTGCATGACCGATTAACTGTAGTAATATGAAAGAATTGGGTGATCTTTAAGGGTTTTTTTAGTGGTATTATACATGGTCCTGTTCATCTGATCCTGTTTATCATTTGAGTTCCAGCTGATCAGATCCCGTCTCTGTATTGACAGGGTATGAAACTCCCCAAAATTTCAGCCAGACCACAGGACTGGCTAGCTGAAATACTTGCCAGCCCTGACCAAAACCTGCCTGCCCACTATAATCATATGTTTCTCAGGATAAGCTAACGGGATTTCTTTTTGGTTACATTTTATCATTCATCTTTACATGTGAATTAATGCTTATCACCGGGAAATATTTTGAATATTTTCACCTATGAAATATAACCTGACCGTCGGGCAGGGGGATTTGAAAATCTGGCAGCCCGAGTTAAAATCAACCCGTCTCGGACGGTCGGGCAGGCAGGTATTTCGAACACTGGTATTATACTGTCACGACTTAAGAACAGGTCGGCTTTGAGCCACATCGTCCAATCAAATATGACTCCTAAGGAAAGGGACGTGTGGTAACATGCATGTTATTAGATATCACGTTTACATGACATGCAAATAATAGGATTACTTGGCATAGTCCAGTGGTCTAAAGAGCTGCAACTTAATATGGATGGTTACCTCCCTTTACAATACAGGATCTGCTGATCAGAACCAATTTGGCCCTCTGGCCTTCATTTAGATGACATTAAGTAATAATTGTTCAAAGCGGCATTAAACCAACTCACTCACGTCTGACTCTTCATTTCACTGACAATCAATGGTCATGTATAGACTGATGTATTGAATGAAGGTGTTTTATTGGACTGCTTGTTTGGGTTGTGTGTTGATTTCCCCATGAATCAGACACCAGAGGACACCTTGTAGAACTAGTTTTAACTTATGATGTTGCCGATATGTAATCAGTGAAGGAGATCCAAATATACAGGAGACACATGCCGTTTATTGTAGAAGATGTGAATGTGTGTGTAGAGTGCTCTGTCATGAAGCAGTTTGTTATGTACAATTTGGTTCTGAAATAATTCTCCTTCTTGTCAGTAATCTTGTGTTAGCAGCTCTTGTTAAAACAGTAATTGACATATTTAGCACCCGTCTCCTAATGACCATTATCCTGATACTAAATTATCCCACCTCATCCCCATCAACTCCTCAGGATCTGAAGCGATCAGTTTCTTAACATAAACACTTAGCAAATGCCCCTTTCCGCTTTGATCTTGGTTATGTCAATTGTGGACGGAGCTGCTATCTTGTTACTGGTCTTTAGACAGGTGCGACATCACGCCATTGTAGCCTTGCTGTACTTGGAGATGGCTTTATACCAAATAAACAGTAGTTAGGAAGGTAATGTAATGTAACCATATAAACGTGTGTACATTTATAAGCCGCGTGTCCTACCTCCCTCTTCAGTAAGGGAGATAACTCTGTCCTACATGCTGTGTACATACGTCGTAGTTGGATCCTAACCGGCTCATGTTTTATTTTATGATTCAATAAATGCCTTTTGTATCTCAAATGATTGTTGTCATGGATATTTTTCTTGTGATGGACACCGCCTCCGTGGTCTAGTGGTAGACCTTCCGCCCAGAGAACGGAAGGTTCATACCTAAGGATGTTAAAAGATGGTACTTGTTGTTACCCTGTCTGGCGCTCGGCATTGAGGGGCTGAAACAAGGACTGCACCAAGTCTCTTCTACCAGTTTAGGAGATGCCCACATTACACTACCACCACCAAATCTGTCCACTTCCAGTATGCATAACGTTCCCCGCGACAGCTGTAAACACGACGTCTCCCATCCACATGGCAAAGCATAAAACGTGACTTGTCTCCATCCCAGTTGTGGCCATACTCTGTGACCTTGACACCATTGATGTCGCAGCCGATGATGCAGGTCCATCAAAGTAACACCTCGAACTGGTCATCTAGCAAGCACACCTTCAGCGCTTAAATGGCTGATATCCTACACAATCCTGGTATTGCCTGGTATAGTTGTAGGGGTGGCCGTGGTGGTTCTTTCACGTAAGTGATGTAGCCGTATGGATCTACCCTGTGCTCTTGTAGTGACACGTGGTCCACCGGATCTGGGAAGGTCCCGTGCGTCTAATAACGGTTCCACAGTCTTGTAATGGTGCTTGGTGCTACGTGGAAAAACCTGGCTGCAGCTAAAGATGATTCTCCTGTTCGCAGTCGGCCGATGGCATTGGTAAGTTGGACTTCTGTCAGTCGTGTAATATTTTCGATGTTCGCTTGGTGGAAGATTGTGATGGCATGCGTTTTCATAGCCCAACAAGTGACGTTGCACGTGCATGTCATGATGGTGTGTTTCGGCGCCAGGCTCTCACGTGTTTGTGTTTTTGCGATATTTCCATCAAATTTCTGCAGTACCTCATATTTTCCACACAAATCAATCCCAATCCATGCAGAAATGACCAATTCATCTTTTTGTATTAATTTGTATGGAGATCAGCAACATTCTGTCAGATATTTACTAGGTATTTTACTACTTTTGCATTTCTTTTTTTGCAGAGTATATATTCACTCACTCTTGCACATTTTTGCATATTTAGGAAACATCAGCTGTATTAGACATATTTCAGTCCTTTACCGTTGGAAATCTTTTGGAATATTTGCTTCATTGTATTATGAAGGTAATTCATGATGCAAGTGTAATCCAGAACTGGTAAGCTTCTCAGAACAGAACACTATATACCATGGGTGCATCAAGTTATCCACATGCGTTAATCCCTTGTGAAGATCTGGGTTAGAACTGCTCTTCAGCAACCCAGGTGACTAACAGGATCAAGTTGTCACACTCGCAGACTTGGTTGATGCATGTCATCGCATCCCAATTGCATAGATTCATGCTCATGTCAATCACTGTATTGTCTGGGCCAGATTCGATTATTGACAGACCGCTATCATATAGCAGAGTGCAGCGTTAAACATCAACAAACAGACATTAACCATTGGCCGAGTAGATGGTCAAACGTTCATTACATGACTGCCTTGTTTAGATTACCAAAGATTGCCAGCAGCCATGGTGGCCGTCAAATAAGAATTGTGAGAGCAGTTTATGAGACGTGTTTAAAGGTAACCACTATGCAGTACCGAAAGGAAATTATTTATTTATGATGTTTCATGAATTATCATAGTTACAGGAGGAAATATGAGAAAAAAAGAATTCAGAACTTCAACAGGAAGAGAAAATCAAAACCTGTCACCAACTGATAAACTCAACAAGGAGTCAAACAAATAAACATAATTATATGTATGATGTAAAAGCAGCACAAACTGTGGTCGTGCACAAAATGTTTATCATAATTGCCACATGAACTTTCCCCCTACACCTCACTCGAGATACTCATACTGGAATCTTTTTATCAAACGCTATACCTCTCTCGTAAAGATTTGAAAATCCTCCATAGCAGATCAAGTCCGGTAAATGTTCTAATCCTTTAATTGATGAATTTGCGGCGTTTGAACCCTCTTTTGAAAATAAAATGCTACCGATGACCAAAAACCCTTCTTGTCATTGTAATACTCATGTGATTTGTCATGCCACACAGCCCACATCCTGTAAACAAAGTCTGGATCCACATGTGCCATACACTGACAAGGGCATAGTGTTGGCCGTCTGCAGTCCAAGGGACATAACTCTTGTACACGTCCCTGTACAGTAAATTTAGCTGGATGTCCAAGTCACATGTCTCTGGCTTTGCGGTTGTAGCTTTTCACAATCTAATTATCAAGAGGAATTGAAATTAAGGAACTTTTGCCTTTTGTTATCTTATTACTTTTGTTGTTCTTACATGTACATAAATGCTCTTTGCCTCACAGCATTAAATTCACCTAATCAAACATTGTGTTCCTCATAATAAAGAAGTTGACATCCATAAATTCTCTTCCTTACCTGTATCGCTTCTAAATGCCTTTCAGACCCCAAAACGCTGTGTTCATCATAATAAAGAAGTTGACAACCATAAATTCTCTTCCTTACGTGTATTGCTTCTAAATGCCTTTCAGACCCCAAAACGCTGTGTTCCTCATAATAAAGAAGTTGACATCCATAATTTTCTCCTCCTCCTGTGTATCCCTTCTAAATGCCTTTCAAACACTTGAAGGAACTTACAGTATGGGCTTTTGAAACCTTTTTTTGCAGCTACAATCTTGGCAAATTGTAACTTGTCAGGTCAGCATGAAACAGATGTCTACCGGTACATATCGAACATGTGTCCGGGGATGCTGGGATGCACACATGCATGTACAGTAAACTACGGTTATAACGAACCCAAAGGGACTACTAATTTTAGTTCGTTATAACTGTAGTTCGTTATAAGTACATATACAGCATGACTATAGCAAGTAGTCGGGACCAAAAAGTAAGTTTGTTATATCCGTCAGTTCGTTATAAGCGTGTTCATTATAACCGTAGTTCATTGTAAGTACATATACAGCATAACTACAGCAAGTTGTCGGGACCAAAAAGTAAGTTCGTTATATCCGTCAGTTCGTTATATCCGTCAGTTCGTTATAAGAGTGTTCGTTATAACCGTAGTTCATTGTAAGTACATATACAGCATGACTACAGCAAGTAGTCGGGACCAAAAAGAAAGTTTGTTATATCCGTCAGTTCGTTATAAGAGTGTTCATTATAAGCGTGTTTGTTATAACCGTAGTTTACTGTATATGCATACATACAAGAAACACAACTGTGGAGTACAGCACATTTATTAACAGGTGAGATGGGAGCCACAGACAGCATTCCATTGTGCAAGACCTAAGGTGCAGGAGACTCACAACACAGAAATTGCACCATTGAGAGTGAGACCTGGTCTCCATCAGCCATCTCCAGATTATCACTCCAGAGTTGAGCAGAAATCACAGTAGAATGAAAGATCAAGTAGATCTCATAACTCCTAGGGATCAAAAATCAAAACACAAGCCACAAAAACAAACATGATATTCATGCATGCATTTTATGCATTCCGAATGACAATTTCTAGAGTCATTGTTGAGATCCTGGAGAGAGACCATGATATATTCATGCATGCATATTATGCATTCCGAATGACAATTTCCAAACGATTTCTGGAGTCACTGTTGGGATCCTTGAGAAAGACCATGACATATTCATGCATGCATACCATGCATTCTAGACGTGTATGTACTAGTATATACTTCTAGAAATCATAATTAAGGCTGTAACGATTCCCCGAGGCACAGGATAACATCTGGCACCAACACTTCATACTGGGTTGTCATGTAGCGTTCCATAAATTATTCTATTCATGTCAACATTGGATAGTCTCCAAATCGATTTGAATTTTTTTTAATAATGTTTTTAAATAAACATTTCACATAAACAAAAATGTCAGAAAACCAATCAACAATTTTTTCTGTTACCGGTATATTATGAGAATAGACCCACACGCTTCAGTCTACCGTGGTGCGTCATGACATGTCGTAGTCTGAACAAAGTAACAATGTATGCTGTGACAGTGTTTCCGTTCATCCTTAACACAGCTGGCTACGTGAGAGAATCAGCATTAACCACTGTCCTTACAGTCTAGGTATATCTAGGAATATCTATATATCTCTACAACATAGTGAAACTGTATAAATATATATAGTAATACGTCATGGAAATATTGCACTTTCTCCTACCCATACATATGCTATTTTCTTTCTTCTCCACTTATCAGCGAGTAACCAAACATGTCGGAAACAAACAGAACTGTCGAGCCCGATTGTTAATTAAATTAATACTAAGGGGAAAAGGATTCCCCCCTAAACAGATATACACTTAATAGAAGGCAAACAAAACCAAAAAACAAACAGTTTTATTGAGGCAATAATTTGGAAAACAATCAAGTGAGCACATGGTCTTATTTGAAAGATCATTATGATGGTTGTTCTGCCACAAACATGTCTGTGTTAGCATACAGCAGAGTACAGTAACTGCATTCTGTGATGTTCTGGGGTAAGAAATATGGCTGTTGTTTGGCTTCATGAGTGAGTGGCTTCATGAGTGAGTATGGTTTTACGCCGATTTAGAAATATTCAAGCAATATCAAGGCGGGGGACACCAGAAATGGACTTCACACATTGTACCCGGGAATCAAACCCGGGTCTTCGGTGTGACGAGCGAACGCTTTAACCACTAGGCTACCTGACCGCCCCTTGGCTTAATGAACACTCTCAACACATTACCACCACACAGTGTTGAATCGACATCGCCCAGGCCTAGATGCTCACAATCCACTTTACTTTGTGTTCTTTTAATAACATGTTTTTAACAAAACCAAGCCAGTGTCTGGCTATGAACTGTTTCCCTTTGCCGTCTAATAGTGAATCTATTATCACAGTCTGCCCTGGTTGTCACAACAGCAAAGTAAACATTTAACAAACTGATGGCGAACTAGTACAACATTTTGTGGTTTGAAAGCCCATAAGTGCAGCCTATCCAACAATCAGTCTTCCTTGCAGGTATGTCCGGTGGCCTATCACGGCACAGTTTAGGGGACAATTCTAAATTAATCTAAATTAGAAACTGCATATTTTTAGCTGTTAGACCTGGTCACTGTTACAGTCATGTTTTCATACACCCAACAATACTTGATTTGCTCATAAACTCACAAGGGGGTATCTTTTCCTCAAGCCTCCCCACTGTCTCCCCGGCAACAACGAGAGCTACACAGTGAGATAATGCTGTTGTGAATAAATAATTTAAATTGTCTTAACAGTAGAAATATTAGCCATTATTACCTTGACTGCCATTGATAAACATGGACGTTTCAATATTTCTTAATCCATTTAATAAATCTTAATTTGAATATTTTTCAACATACTTCATAAAATTCCTCACATGAACTTTTCCTTTAAATCGGTACCCAGAAATGGCATTTTTTTATAATATTTTTCGAAAGAACCCCATCTCTTATAACATACAGACAACATAAAAAGTCTCAGATCTAAATGAACCATATATATTGAAGTAAGATAAGATAAGATAGGAATTTGACGACCCAAAAGGTAAAACATTCTCAGAAGTGTGTTCCTAAATTGAACACTGATCTTTTAAACATTCAATTGATAAGCAAAACAAAAGACAGATTTTTATATTTTTCTTGTAACCATTATGAATAAGTCAAAATAAAAGTGTTTGCCAACACAATTCTCACCTATTAATTCCAGATAGTTAGTGAGTGAGTGAGTATGGTTTTACGCCGCTTTTAGCAATATTCCAACAGAAATGGGCTTCACACATTGTACCCATGTCGGGAATCGAACCCGGGTCTTTGGCGTGACAAGCGAAGGCTTTAACCACTAGGCTACCCGACCGCCCCTTGATAGAGCCAGTAAGACAGCCAGATGTTTTAAGCATCCAAACACTATGGGAATGCACTGATTGCATTGATTGCAATGGAAGGTTGCCAACATTATCATTTCCACAGGTCAATACTTTCACTTTTGAAAAGAAAATGATAAATTTGAACATAGATTAACTTGGAAAGTCTGATAGTACATGAAAGAAACCATCAAAATTGGCGACACTCAGTTGAATGAGTAATTTAGTTGGGTCTAGTGGCACGTTTAGCAATATTCCAAAAACATCATCGGGAGAGACCAGAAATGGGTGTCAAACATTGCACCCATGTGGGGAATCAAACCTAGGCCCTTGGGACGTAGAACAAATGATTTAACTATCAAGGCTATCTAGTCTCCCCTTCATTCAGTGGAAAGAGAGTGAATGAGTATGGTTTTAAGCCGCTTTTAGAAACACTCCATCACAACAGTGTCACCAGAAATGAGCTTCACACATGGTACCCTTGTGGGGAATCGAACCTGGGTCTTTGATGTGATGAGCAAATGCTTAAACAAACCACTAGGCTACTCCACCAATAACATTGTTTCATTTTAAATACTTGCTTCCCATGACTCATGAAGAGAGACAAAGATGTTTACATATTGTTTACGCACTGTATTGTTACACCCCAAGAAAGGGCAGAATACCCATAACATCACGTCTATACACGTGGACTTAAGTGATGAATATTGTAAGTTTCAAAAATACTGTAACTAACGACAATAAAATGGATAAATATTGATAATAAAGATATTAGTAAAATGGACATTCAATTGTTTTACTAATAAGTTGAATCTATGATGGATTAAGCATCAAATCAGAAACACATAAAATCGGATACCATAGATGTAAGTACGCTATTAATAACAAGTATATGCATACAAAATTACCCAAAACAGTAACATCACTTGCAGTCCCCTTGCCAAGCTTGATACTGTCAGCATGACACCCACTGTGGTGCTTATCCAAGTCAGAAGTTACAAGCCTATTTTATTGTGCTCTTTTTTATCAGTTACCAAATCCCTTTCATTACGTAATGCTTGCTGATGGGAGTAATATACTACTAAAAAAAGGTTAAAGACCACCACTTCCTTCATATTACTACAATTAACTTGTTGTGATCCATAACACCTGTTCATTCATGCTGTTCTTACATTACTCTCTGCTCCTAACACGTGATAATAAGTTTTAGGAAAAGTAGTATGCAAAACAATGTTGATATATATATACACACAAACATAAACACTCAAGGTACCTAATAAATAACACTCGAAACATATTTTCACAGAAAAACTTTAAGAAATTACACAGAATTAACAATATGAAGTCAATTGTCCTCAGAGTCATCACAATATCTTCTCAGCTGACACAATATCTGCCATATCATCCCAGGTAACACAATACTTGCTATATCACCCAGGCTGACACAATACTTGCTATATCACCCAGGCCGACACAATACTTGCTATATCATCCAGGCTGGCACAATACTGGCTGTATCATCCAGGCCGACACAATACTTGCTATATCATCCAGGCTGATACAATACCACACCATCCCAGGTGACAAAACACTTGCTATATCATCCAGGCCGACACAATACTTGCTATATCATCCAGGCCGATACAATACCACACCATCCCAGGTGACAAAACACTTGCTATATCATCCAGGCCGACACAATACTTGCTTTATCATCCAGGTCGACACAATACTTGCTATATTATCCAGGCTGATACAATACCACACCATCCCAGGTGACAAAACACTTGCTATATCATCCAGGCCGACACAATACTTGCTTTATCATCCAGGCCGACACAATACTTGCTATATCATCCAGGCTGATACAATACCACACCATCCCAGGTGACAAAACACTTGCTATATCATCCAGGCCGACACAATACTTGCTATATCATCCAGGCCGATACAATACCACACCATCCCAGGTGACAAAACACTTGCTATATCATCCAGGCCGACACAATACTTGCTTTATCATCCAGGTCGACACAATACTTGCTATATTATCCAGGCCAACACAACACTTGCTATATCATCCAGGCCGACACAATACTTGCTTTATCATCCAGGTCGACAATACTTGCTATATTATCCAGGCCAACACAACACTTGCTATATCATCCAGGCCGACACAACACTTGCTATATTATCCAGGCCAACACAACACTTGCTATATCATCCAGGCCGACACAACACTTGCTATATCATCCAGGCCGATACAATACTCAGGACACTATCCCAGGTGACAAAACACTTGGTACATGCATCAAATATGACACCCTGGAGACTGACATTACAAACTGTTCGCTCTGTAATTACATGTAATCACTGACATAGCTTGTGATGAATCTGAGGACGTGTGAAGATAATAAAGTAGAAATTGTAAACCCTTGCTGCTAAGTGTGACTAGCTCACATAGGGTTAACACTTCAGCACAGCCTTGTCTTGATAAGCAAAGAGTTAGTCAGGCATCATCTAACAACTCTTTGGTTCCTATGTTTCATGCTTCAGATCAGACCAGTGTTTGGGACACACCTCCAGAAGCAGGCTGAACAGAGGGAGGGGGTGGGCAGGATTACAGATGTACAATTTATACTGACCACGTTTGTTGTCACCTGTTCGTTTACCAGTACTTGTTTAAGGGATGGAACATAGTCTTATATTGTGTATAATACTTGAAACACTCTTTTCTCACACATACTATATTCCTTAGATGGTGGTATGCACTATACTCAAGAAAAATACAGTTAACAGGTGTGAGTGAGTGAGTGAGTGAGTGAGTGAATGAGTTGGGTTTAACGCCGCTTTTAACAATATTCCAGTTATATCACGCCGTTTCAGCTTAATGTGGGAGGAAAGCCCGAAGTAATGCAGGTCTACGTTACCACTTCGGTGAAACCCACGAGCACGGGTATGGTGCTGACATACCTAGAAACATAATCGGGGCGAACCGGGATTCGACCCACAATCATAGGTTTCTGGCATGCCCAAGGGAGGCAACTCTGCACAGCAAATCGCGGCGCCTTATACAACTGGGCCACCCGTGCCCCCAGTAAATAGGCGTGACTTGAGGAAGTGGTTGGACATGAGCAACAAGCTGGATGGTTGAGCATGACACAGATTCGGGGTGGCAAGACATAAGGGTGGGGCCAACAGTGGGTGGAGCCTAGAATGGGGGCGGGGCAAGCCAGCTCAACTACAGGACTGACAGATTGGTTCATGTTAGCAGTAGAGAGGGGTGGGACAAACAGCAGTCCCAGCCCAAAGATTACAGAGATGTGCATTGAGACATTCAGTGACGGATGCACAGCTGCAACAGGCCACCATTGAAGGTATCTCCAAAACACAGGCTTCAATATGGAATGTTCGACATTCATAACACATCTCATAATAAACACTCTGTAAAAAATGTAAATAATATATTTGATTATATTAGGATAACAGCTATCAATCAAAAACTTCACAAATTCTGAATTACAAAACAGAGTAAATCTGGCTTTTAAGATCTTTGGAGACAAAAAGCACTTTCTAAAATTGACAAGAAATATTTCATTAAAGAGTTTGAATATTTGGATGTTCTTGGTCTCATACAAATGTTCCTTGTAGGTTAGTTACGTAATCATTATATACTGAACAAAAAAAGTTAAGGATAAACAATATTCATGATCCCTAACCTTTTTGGTTGAGTATATATTCATGTACAGTACATCAATCAATTTAAGAGCCTACATTCATTATAAACCACTAGAGATACACAGGAATGTCAAGAATGTTAATAGGCCTATTTCCTTTGCTTTACAAGTGAGCCAGGCCTACTTTTGCAACAGTACCAACAAAATGTAGATGCATTTTGATTGAAAATATGCTATTTTGAATGTTTGTTTGATTATATCTTTGTTTGATGATGAAACAATAAACTAGCCTTATTTTACAAATATTTAAAAAGAAACATCCTCAATTCATAGCTTGATAACTTAACGTTCACTTTCTCCAGTGTAATAACGTCAAATCAGGCTCGAAACAGTGGTATCACTTAATTTGCCCACTCGTCTTGACATTGTGGTCAAAATATTCTGCCAATCAAATAGCTTTGCTTTTCTCAAAATGAAATGAAATTGTAACTTAGGGTTTTAAGTACATGCAGTGTCTATCCAATCCCTTGGTCGAGACAGAGTTATGCCCCTTAGCGCTAGTTAAGCTTCAAAGACAATAGTCTTGTAACCAACCTTAAGTTTGATTATGGTCTTGCCTTGAGAATATCTTTGATTTGTGACCTATGAAATGGCATAACTCTAACATTAAGACTTTAAATTCAATCTTGACAATGAGCAAAAACATTTTCTAAAGTGTACACGAGAGTACACTACCATGCATACTACTTTAATTTGACAGAGAAAACATGGACATATTTCAAGGTAGTAAAACATATTTGCTGTTAACAGAGCGATTCTAAATACAGATAGGAGCATTTCTAATGCTTGAGTTCTTAACTGTGTCTTTAGAAACGTGTTTATCACATGAAAGTATTATGCATATAGTTCATACTACATTACAGTTTCAATCATATAAAGAAAAGAACTTCAGCAAGCCAGAAAAAAATAATAGAAGACAGTCCAAAATATTGCTGTCAACAGCTGACAAATTCTTGATTACTGACAATAGTGATAAAATGGCCAACATTAAAGTGTACAAATTTTGTCGTTTTTGTTTCCAGGCAGAAGTTCAAATAAAATGTCAGTCAAAATGTTGAGGACACGTAAAGTTCAGATAGGTCCCCTCCTTAATAATTTCAGGTTGTATTCGATTCTCTGTGTTGAGGGACGTGTCTAAGCAACTTGTTCATATTTAGCCTTGTTGATGGACTTGGCCAGACAGCAGGCCAGAACAGCTCCCAGCACCTGTAGGAAAGCAACAGAGTCCGTCAGTCAGAGCAGTTCAAACTGGGAGTCCTTTTCTTGGTATTCAAACACTTTACCAGGACCGTCAATGAATTATTGGACAAAATACTTTAACAACTTGTCACAGTAGCACTTGTCATGAAAGCTATGTACATTGAGCCACTTCAAATACTGTATTCGATGTAATAAGCGCCCCGCTCTAATACGCGCCTACGGCGATATTTGCTAATGTATTGGCGAGTGAACAATCCCAATTAGCACCCCTTCCGATTGATAAATGTACACAAGACTTATTAATTCACGTATAATACACACTCGTGTGTCATATGCACCCTAAATTATGGGCAATTAAATTCTGGAAAAATATATCTGTCGTATATAAACATTTCAGGTTGTCGTCATAAAGCATGAAATTTACGATCTTTCAACTTTGTTTTTTTTTTCACCAAAATTATATTCTAATAAGAGCCCCCTATTTCTAATTTTGAGAGCGCCTTACGTCAAATACGGTGTGTGCAAACCGTAACCATGGTAACAGCAGATGGTACAGAACATTAAGAAAAAGTGGTAAAAATATCTTAATATCGAGATCAGCTGTGAAACATTTGAATGTGAAGAATTCATTTTTGTGTAAAACAACCTGTATTAGGAAGAGTGAGTTTGGTTTTACGCCGCTTTTAGCAATATTCCAGCAATATCACGGCGGGGGACACCAGAAATGGGCTTCACACACTGTACCCATGTCGGGAATCGAACCGGGTCTTCGGCGTGACGAGCAAACGCTTTAACCACTAGGCTACCCAGCCGCCCCTGTATGAGGAAGAGAATTTAAGGATGACAACTTCTCTTTATTATAAGGAACACAACGTTTCGGAGTATATGTTTACTCCTTCATCAGCTGATGTGATCAGGGAAACAGAGTATAGCATGCAGCAACTTCACTGGTCTGGATGCCTGTCTTGTGACCATACCATGCTGGTATGCATTGAACTGCTCTCTGGCCTATCAGATTCATGTACCTGGAAGAAGGATATTCCAAGAGCCACTCCACCGATTGGTCCGATGTGATCGTTGATGAAGTCCACTACCAGCCGGTGGCAGCCCTGAAATACAGCAGAGTGAGTGAGTGAGTGAGTGAGTGAGGCTCTTCTTTGGTAATAAATAGACCATTACATTTACTCTCACTCGGGAAATACCTGAATTAGACACTCTTGTTGTAAACATAGTATGACATGAACCCTCATATAATATCCTCTATTTAATGCACCCACTATGCTGCAAAACACATTAAGCAATTCTCCTTACAGGAGTCTGCTTAAGCAACCTCTCTGCTAACTGGTAGGAAATTTCCAGTAAAAAAATATTGTGTGTTAAAATTATTCTGTTCAAAACAGATAGAATCTACAGTAAAACTACAGTTACCCAAACTCAATTTTTGTTCGTTATAACCAGTGTTCGAAATACCTGCCTGCCCGACCGTCCGAGACGGGTTGATTTCAACTCGGGCTGCCAGATTTTCAAATCCCCCTGCCCGACGGTCGGGTTATAATTCATATGTGACAATATTCTAAATATTTCCCGATGATAAGCATTAATTCACATGTAAAGATGAATGATAAAATGTAACCAAAAAGAAATCCCGTTAGCTTATCCTGAGAAACATATGATTATAGTGGGCAGGCAGGTTTTGGTCAGGGCTGGCAAGTATTTCAGCTAGCCAGTCCTATGGTCTGGCTGAAATTTTTGGGAGTTTCATACCCTGTTATAACCATAGTTCGTTATAAGAATATATGCAGCATATATACAGCACATGGTCGGGACAAAAAAGAAGAAGTTTGTTATATCCGTCAGTTTGTTATATCCGTCAGTTTGTTATAAGACATAGACATAGTTTACTGTATGAGTAATTTGGGTGGCCTCCCACTGCCTCTCACCTGGCTGTAAATATCAGTGGGCTTGTCACCGAGGTCCGTGTTCTTGCAGCTGGCTGGGTTCTTGCAGCAGGACAGGGGCACCGTCTTTGTGGTGTTCTGTTTCAGCTCCCAAGGGGTTTTATACCAGTCTTCGTAGTTGTCGATTCCACAGCAGTGCAACTAGAAAAGTAGGTATCACTGGCAATGACACATCCACAATCACTTTTTTTATTGTTCTTTATTCAATAATACATCCTTTTTCCACTTACGACTTTTTAATTTATTTGTAGGTTTACAGATATTTACCCCAAAACAATCAGTTCGGCATGGGGAAATAATTTTTAAAAAAATATCTGACATGACATATTCAGACAAAACTGACAAAGGAACTTGTCCTTTCAACCATGACAAAATAAAAAGATACAACTTATTCTCTCTTTACTGTTTATTACTTTTCAGTGCAAATATTTTTAAAGACTGATTTTGATTTTGATTTTTGTTCCATTTTCCAAGTATTTGTGATCGCGAGATCCGTCAACACCCTACCCACTCACCCAAAAGGATGACACTTTGTTGTTGCATTTAAAATATAACATTGGATACAAAATAACTAACAACCAAACAACAATCTAAAATATCATGCAAATTTACCAGTATGAGAAAATTTGTTTTACAGTGTGTTGAGTGTTTGTTTTTTAACACCTCACTCAGCAATTATTCCAGGTATGACGGCAGTCTGTACCCGGTAACTAATTGAGTCTGGACCAGATAGTCCAGTGATTTACATCATGTGTATCGATCTACACCGATTCTGTTAGTCACCTCTTACGATGATCATGGGTTGAAGATCAATTCTAACCCGGATCTTCACAGAGTTATAAGCATTGGTTACTGAACACCCATTCTAACCAGCATAACTGCTTTCAGCATTTTTTCAGCCCTACGTCACAGCAGTGGACTTCACACATTGTTTTGTTTGTTTGTTGTTTAACGCCGCACTCAACAATATTCCAGCTATATGACGCGGTCTGTAAATAATCGAGTCTGAACCAGACAATACAGTGATTGACATCATGAGCATAGATCCACGCAATTGGGATCGATGACATGCGTCAACCAAGTCAGCGAGCCTGACCACCCGATCCCGTGAGTCACCTCTTACGGCAAGCATGGGTTGCTGAAGACCTATTCTACCCCTCACACATTGTACCCAAGTAGGAATCCCAAGAGGGTCCTCAATAAGGCCACCCCACCACCCTACACACCAAGGTCAACTCGGCATTAGGAACACAATATTTAACAGAGCAACACATACAGTCTTCTGTAGGTCGTTGAAGGCGTTGGTGATCTCATCTTCTCCTTGTTTGCCATACTTCTCCTTCGCACTCCCCAGCCCTTCTTTGAAACCTTTCTCCAGCTGCAAACAGACACAAAACATTGGATGTAAAGGAGGTCATTCTCATTTAAGAGAGTGGGTTGTTGCATATCCTTGGCTTGTGAGTCACAAATCCCTGGAGCTGTCCAGGATTTTCCTAGAATAGTTGCATTTATCAAATAAATTTGGTCATCACTGGTCATACATCTGTGTATGTGCGAATTTAGCCTATAGTCCATTTGGATGTGGGTTCTTTCATAACCATAGTTTGTGGGTCCCAAGGCTCTGTACCTCACCTGGATTTTCCTGGAATAGTTGCAATATAACAACAACATCAACAACAACAACAACAACAACAACAACAACAACAGGCTATTTATATTGCACATATTTCCACACCACTCAGGTGCATTTTCAAAGTGGTAATATTACCCCGGTGACTGGATCAATGTGCGCTCAACAATAATTCTCAGCTCCCTGGGGAGTATACAACCCAAGCTGCTTGTTAGGCGCTAGAACTAGTAGATGGGAGACAACCACATTGCCGTCAGTCAGGTCATCTCTTCATCAATTAGGTCATATAGACAGTCTGTGACTTTAGCCACAAGTCTGAAGCCCGGGGGTAGTAACATATGTCCTGTCCAGTAAACTCAGCTTGTAACAGTCCGATGATACATAAAATGTACAGGGAGTGAGTCCATATGGTTTTATGTCGCTTTTAGCAATACTCCAGCAATATCACGGCTGGGGACACCAGAAATGAGCTTCACACATTGTACCCATGTCGGGAATTGAAAAATAAACTATAAATTCCTCATTTAACTCATCAATCGAGACTGTTTGTTTTAATGTATGATTTATACAAGTAGTGACTAACACATGTATATATGTATATATATATATATTTATGTATATCGGTATTTTCATGCAGTATATCTGAATAAGAATGAAAGGATGCAGACAAAAATACATGTGTACATCGTGTGCATAGAATACCACAATTTCATGTCTAGTTACAGATTAAACTTGTACAGGCAATGGGTTTTTTCATCCATATTGTATTTACTTTATTCTGCACCCTACATGTGCTTAACCTTCTACATAAAGACTACATCACAATGCCACATCATTATAAACTCAACACTGTACAGCGTAATATTTCCTTCCCTGGTGAGCAGCTGGTGAGTATAGAGTTTATACAACCCACTCTCAACTCTGACCTTCTAGATGTGGGAGTTAGGTCTTCCAGAATCGTTATACACTGGAGTCATTTGCACAGCTCATTCTCTAAAGTTTGCTCGATCCTTGAAACAACATCACAAAAAATATCAATTATTAATTAACGAAAGTGGCTGCATATGTTCTAATACTTACAAGGTATAAACAAGCCATTCCGGCGATAAAGAATATTACCTACAGCAATCATGGTTATGACAAAAATTGCAAACTGCACTTTTCAAGAAATATCCCTTTTCTTTTCAAAACACCATGATTGACTGAGAGCGGCCATATTTTGCATTAAGAAAAAAACTATAGATTTGTACTCACAGACATGCATGGTCACAGTTTCTAGGCAGCGAGAAGTCAGAGTGAGTGAGTGAGTATGGTTTTACGCCGCTTTTAGCAATATTCCAGCAATATCACAGCGGGGGACACCGGAAAATGGGCTTCACACACTGTACCCATGTGGGGAATCGAATACAGGCCTTTAGCGTGACGAGCTAACGCTTTAACCCTAAGGCTACCACACCGCCAGGTGAAAAGTCAAAAGTGTATCATGGCAAATGATTAAAGGTAATGCCATCCATTGTTAATCACATCCATTGACATCACAGCTGATTAATAATTAACTAGTTAGGGCAAAGGATAAGTATTGGTAATGGAAAAAATGATATGACCTGACATAAATGCTATCTTTTCAATAATTTGGCGTAATATTCACATTCATATTAGTTCCCTGTTTTACATAACACATGTGTATTATGCCTCTGCTGTCCCGAGTTGTTGTTTGTTGTTTAACGCCGCACTCAGCAATATTCCAGCTATATGATGGCGGTCTGTAAATAATCCAGTCTGGACCAGACAATCCAGTGATTGATGACATGAGCATCGATCCATGCAACTGGGATACAATGACATGCATCAACCAAGTCAGTGAGCCTGACCACCCGATCCCGTTAGTCGCCTCTTCCGACAAGCATAGTCGCCTTTAACGGCAAGACTGGGTTGCTGAAGACCTATTATACCTTGGACCTTCAAGGGGCGATCATATTTAGTTAACATGGTATTTAAGGTAGTGACCTGCATAGCCTTCATTTTATCAGATACTGGGCTTGATTTAACTGTACAAAACATGCACCAGTGCAACCTATTATTGAAGTATCTACGCAACGCATAAACGTGTGTCCCTTACGCACTAATGTAGAGAATGGACACAGAAAACAAATATACTGCGTCCCGAGGGATGCACAATAATATTCACAGTATCTTCAGCTCATGAAGAGCAGTTATGGGTGTCTGTTATTTCATCCATCAATCATGATCACTGTCCACGTGATCACGGATTCAGTCCAGGCTCTAAAGTAATTATCTAAACATACAGCACACAGTGCCATTACATTACTCTACAGGACACTCAATTTGCCTGCAAGGACCCTTAAAATTAATTATTGGGAGTCATCTGGATCCCCACTTTTGTAAACAAAGGTAAAACCCTGAATGTATGTCTAAAATTTTCAATTTGTGTCAAATTTACCCTAACTTGTCCTCACATTGACCTTTGAATACTTAATACCTCTAAATACCAAACCATACTACGTCAATAATCCCTGTGTTATTTGTTATGCTTTCGTGGTCTTGATGACATCAAGCTGTGGGTACTTCGGGACGATGTTCCTATCACATCTTACAGCAACAGGTCTTCAACGTATGTGATACTGGCAGCAGGCCGGCCTAATTTTGTTTCATATTTGATAAATTTGTGGGATCACGGTTCAATCTGGTTTTGTCTGATGCAACTAGGTTTTCATGTCAACTAGCACATGGTATAAGTCAAATCAATTTCTAGAAATCAAGCCTGCGATAGCATTCTAGGAGCCCATCGGGCACACATCTTTGACATAGGGAGATGTTACATTGTTTCTATTGACCTGGGTACCGTTGTACAAAACAACCTTAGTACTACGACTGTCGTAAGTCTGTGTTAAGGTATGGGAGTTACGTTCAGCTTAGCCCAAAGATCACTTTGTACACCGGCACCCTGTACAAGAAGCCTGTGGTCAGATCTCACTCAGGTGCTTGTTGGTCAGTAACAGGTTGGGGATGGTATCACTTAGGACTGGGACAGGTAACTCGGGTACCCACAGGACAACCCGGACCCGTGGTTTGTCGCGTGATATATTGTTCAATGACAAAAATTATCTAGAACTCCATGGTTACACTACAAGTCACTGATGTTCACATTTCTTTCTGTCTATGTACCCAACTGCACAACTTCTGATTTTTCATATGGTTGAATAAAGATATAACTTAATTCAACTTCAGTGTATGCATGACCAGATTGTTTAATACATGTATCTATATACGTTATGCCAGGGCTATGCTAAAAATGTTCCCAATCGGACATTTTGAGACATCTCCTGAGACCTACAGTGGGTACCTGGGTAGGGTAGGGTGATAGGGGGGAGGGTACCCATGTAGTAAATTTGGACTTGTCCCAGCCCTAGTATCACTGTTTTCCTTCATGGAGCGGGTGGTGAGTTGACCAGAGCGGGAATCATCTTCCAAACTGCTCTCACACACTGAAAAACTCCTTACCAACTTTTACTTGTGGCATATGATGGGGCTGCCTTCCCCTAAACAGCATGCAACCGTTCATCAATATTCTCTGGTGATTAACCCTCTAGAGTAAAACATTATATGACTACTTGATGTTGAAGTTGAGTTGAGTCAAAATCAGTTATCAGCAAGTCACTGGACTGAAGCAAGCCAAATTGTGAAAGATGACTCAACAAACACAGGTCAATACTTTTATACACAGGAGATATCACTTGGGTGAGATCAAGCCATATCTACATAGTAGATATAGCTGCAATGAAATGACATCACAATGCTTTGCAGACTATTGTGATGTCATTGGTTACCATGACGTTACAATTAAATGACATCACTCATGGGTTCTGCTACTGAAGCTGTTAGCAGTACTTTTCACACTTTAGAAACTGCTTATCACTGTCTACAAACTGAAAAAGTTGGAAGTAGGATGTTGCATGATAAATAAAATCTCACCCTCGTGTCTTTTGACATCAACATGATCAAGTACATGGACACTCGTTGATAAAAGTGGAAAAACTCCTTGGCAAGCCTTGGAGTTTACCGTATTCGACGTAATAAGCGCCCAGGGCACTCTCAAAATTAGAAATAGCTGGTTCTTATTAAAATATTATTTTGGTGTAAAAAAAACAGAGTTGAAAGATAAATTTCGTGTTCATGTACGACAGATATATTTTTCCAGAATTTAATTGCCCATAATTAAGGTTGCATATAACACACGAGTGCGTATCATACGCGAATAAATAAGTCTTGTGAATATTGATCATCCGGAAGGGGTGCTAATTGGTATTGTTCACTAGCCAATATATTCGCAAATATCGCCGTGGGCGCTTATTAGAGCGGGGCGCTTATTACGTCGAATACGGTATCCCTTTTTGTCAACTCGTGTTGATATATTTGATATCAAAAGACACTCGGGTGAGATTCTTTATATATGTCACACGTTAGCATCACAAAGAACTATAAATGACCGACTCAAGCTATATGATACTCCTTGTACTGTAGAAAGATTTGATCCATGAGTTTGGTAGGACTTTCAATATACGGTCATGTTGATGTATTTCATCCATATATAGAAAGGGCACATATCTTTATCTATAGGGACTTGGAAATAATAAAATTATGCAATGCAGGGTGTTTGGTATTACGTGAAGGAGTGAGTTGGGAGTAACGCCGCTTTTAACAGTATTCAAGTTATATCACGGCGTGTC